CTCCAGATGTCTTCTAAAAGTCAGATAGCTGTTTATTTCCTTGACATCTGGTGGGAGGGCGTTCCACAGGGTGGGCGCCACTACCGAGAAGGGCTTGGTTTGACTACCTTGCTTGTGTTACTGAGGGATCCTTCACTCTGATTTTCCTATAATTATTTCAAATCACATAAATTACAAATGTATTCAGAGTTTAAAACTGTCTTCCTAGTCCTATCCAGGCAGTCTAAAGAACATGTGAGGGCACAAACTATGCAGGGATCATGAGACCATGTGCACTTGCCCTCACCCCCAGTTCCCCTATTCCTCAGATGAGAATAGGGACATTTCCCACTCACTCCAGCTGACTCTCCTTGACCCCCCATTTTTCCTCCCCTTGCCCAGCAGAGCATTTCCTGTCAGAAGGCTGAGTGCCGCCACCAGTACACCAACGGGACAAAGCACAAACTGTTATGTACTGAAGTTCTCACCCTGGGCCAGCAGGGGGATACTGTAGATACGGTAGTTTTCACTCAGGTCCACATATGCAAACAAAGGATTGAAAGTGACGTTCAGTGATTGGATAGTTACAGAAAGTGTTACAGTTGCGTTAGTGGAGCTCTATATAAGCAGGCTGGCTGAACCCTTCAGTTCAGTTCTGTTCTGGCCTGTGAATAAACAAGAGCTGTTTGAAGAATCGCTGTGTCGTCTGATATGTTCACCCACAACTTAACACAAACCCTCCAGCGTCCTGAGAAAAACTTGATCTTATTTTATTTTATTCTTTGGCAGATTTACCAAAGAAAAGAAAAACACACGCCAATAAACAATTTTTTAGAAAGGGGCAAGATTAGATGTGGACCCACAAAGTATTTTTAATTAATAATAATAATAATAATAATAATAATAATAATAATAATAATTTATTTGTATCCCGCCCTGCCTGGCTGAGGCCGGGCTCAGAGTGGCTAACATCACAAAAACAACACAGGCATCAATTAATTAAAATGCACCTTAAAATTAATTCAGACAAGTTAAAACCTGGGCAGGTGGCAATTATCAGGGTGGAATTGAGAGTGGTTAATAGCTGCCAGGACCAACTGTTTCCACCGACTCCTTGTGCTCTGCTCCCCCTTTCTTTCCGCCCAGGGCGGCTCTGCCCTCTGCCTGCCCCTCAGAGCTGGCGTGTCACTTGGGGCTAGGACTTGGTGGTGGCAGTCTCTCCTTCTCCTTGCCCACTCTCCAGCAGCTGCTATAATAAATAATAATAAATTTTATTTATACCCGCCATCCCCGGCCAGAGCCGGGCTCAGGGCGGCTAACACCAGTAAAATTACAATAGAAACATAATAGGAGGAGTGACATTGTCATTGCTCAGATTCATGTGTGGTTTGTGGATACTTACCTGTCAACTGTCCCGCTTAGAGCAGGACATCCACAAATTAGAGAAGCCATCCTGGCTTCTGACTGTACTGTTTTGGCTTCTGCAAGAATGTGAGCCCGAAATATATGTGCCCTGATTTCCCTCTCCGGCATGTTGGAGAGTATGTTGGTGGAGCCTGGCGGGTCCAGTGATAAGCTCAAGAGCAAACAATCTTTGACAAGCAGTAGCAGAAAAGAAGACTCCCTGGAAAAGACCCTGATGTTGGGAAAGATTGAGGGCGCAAGGAGAAGGGGACGACAGAGGACGAGATGGTTGGACAGTGTTCTTGAAGCTAACAACATGAGTTTGACCAAACTGCGGGAGGCAGTGGAAGACAGGAGTGCCTGGCGTGCTCTGGTCCATGGGGTCACGAAGAGTCGGACACAACTAAACGACTAAACAACAACAACAGCAGGTGGAGTGGCATAGGTGGGGCTGCACTTCTGACCTGACCGCCTTCCTAATGCCACATACCACTGCCAGTTACTGGATGGGGCAAGGCAGCAGGGAGCTTGCCATTGTGCTGCTCCTGACTTGGTGCCCGCATTGTACTGAACTCCCACTGCCTTCTCCTCCCCAAATCCTCAGCAACCTTCAGTGACATGCACAGACCCTCCAAGTGTACCTATTTTTCAGGATCGGTCCCTGATTTACAGAAGCCTTCTTTTGATCCTGGAATGTCCCGCTTTTCCTTAGGACATCCTGATTTTTGTCAGAGAAGTGTTGGAGGGTGTGACCCCCGAGCCAAGGACATAACTAATAATAAAACTTTTAGAAAACATCTGAAAGTGGCCCTGCATAGTTTCATTATGTTTTTATATCTGTTGGAAGCCGCCCAGGGTGGCAGGGTCTAGATATGATGATGAGGTTGATGGAATAGGATGTCCCTACAGTGGTACCTCGGACGCGGGTGGCGCTGTGGGTAAAAGCCTCAGCGCCTAGGGCTTGCCGATCGAAAGGTCGGCGGTTCGAATCCCCGCGGCGGGGTGCGCTCCCGTTGCTCGGTCCAAGCGCCTGCCAACCTAGCAGTTCGAAAGCACCCCCGGGTGCAAGTAGATAAATAGGGACCGCTTTCTAGCGGGAAGGTAAACGGCCTTTCCGTGTGCTGCGCTGGCTCGCCAGATGCAGCTTTGTCACGCTGGCCACGTGACCCGGAAGTGTCTCCGGACAGCGCTGGCCCCTGGCCTCTAGAGTGAGATGGGCGCACAACCCTAGAGTCTGTCAAGACTGGCCCGTACGGGCAGGAGTACCTTTACCTTTACCTTTACAGTGGTACCTTGGGTTACAGACGCTTCAGGTTACAGACACTTCAGGTTACAGACTCCGCTACCCCAGAAATAGTACCTCGGGTTAAGAACTTTGCTTCAGGATGAGAACAGAAATCGTGCTCTGGCGGCACGGTGGCAGCAGGAGGCCCCATTAGCTAAAGTGGTGCTTCAGGTTAAGAACAGTTTCAGGTTAAGAACGGACCTCTGGAATGAATTACGTTCTTAACCCGAGGTACCACTGTATTTTCATTGGAGAAATGTTGGAGGGTATATATGCCACAGTGGGAAGCCAGGTCAGCAACACAGCTCTGCCTGCATTGTCTGCTACTGCTGCACATTATATATTTTAATCATCTGATTCATGTTGCTTGCCAGAATGTGCTTTTTACAGGACAGAGCAGTGAATTACTGGCCGATTGGCAGCCATAGCGCCACATGTCCATATTTCAGCCTAACCCAAGCTAGGCTAGTGTAGTTTATCATTTAGTTTGTTATTAATCTGCCCAATAGTGACTACTTTGGGCCTGGATGCTGTGCTGGAATGATGATGACAAGCCCAGAATTCTCCAGCGGGTGTCGCCAGTATTTCAAAAGGTTGCCATTAGCTCAGATGTGCCTGGTGAAATTGTTTTTAAAAGGGACCAACCGAGATCAATTAAGAAAATGTCATAAAGTCCTTCTGGGTCTCATTAAAAAGTTTGTCTATTAAAACAAAATGGTAATTGCAAATTAAGGGCTCAATTTGGACAAGTACCAAGTCTCTGTAGTCCTCACTGAATTGGCAACCGCTAAGCTGCTCCACTTCCAGGCTTGAAGGCTCCTGGGTCTTGTTTAGAGCAATTGAAGTTGAAGTCTACAAATGGTACATTAAACCACTAGCTCTTTCTCTTCTCCCAGTATGGCTATTGTCGGGGGAGCCTAAATCTAAACTTTGCTTTCAGGAAGTCGCTGTGGATACTGCACTGAAAGCATCAGCCCAGTGTATCCACTTCTGGTCTATTATCTATTTTCAGGTGGGATTCAGTCAGGAATCGGCAAATTCAAGCTGTGCAACTATAGCTGACTGGGGGTCTTGCACAACAAACCTGCTTCCTCAAAAGACTTTTTTGCAATAAGGAAAGTGGTGGGAAGGTGCCCTAGAAAGTGTGAGATAACACTTGCTTTGACACAACATGGTCTAACCTTCCTGCAAGCAAACAGAAATCCCAAGGAGTTGTTTCCCACTGTGCTTCAATTTTAAAAATTCATTCTGACTGGCAAGAGTGGCTGGGGAAACCCAGCCAGATGGGTGGGGTATAAATAATAAAATTATAATCATTCTAAGACCAGAAGCCTCCAAGTGCATTTTCACCAAGGGGCTCTCTGTTGGAAGCCCAGAAAAGACTACAAAGTCTAGACTCACCCAGCCTTTATTGGCATAATTTAGATAATAAAAATCATAAAATATACAAAGTCTATATGAAAGACAAAGCAGGATTTTTATGTGACGAAGTTGGTCTGTGTGCCAAAGATGGCATTTGGTACAACAGGCTAAAAAAATTAAAAGAAGCAAATATCCATAGGCCAGTTGACTATCCCCAGAGGTGCAGAGAGATTCTGAAATCTGTCGCTACCTCTGCTAACTTCTATAAGCCATGATAGCTACAATGAATTTCCATATACCGTATTTTGCGTGCCATAGGACGCTCCGGCCCATAGGATGCACCTAGTTTTTTTGGGGGGAAATAAAGAAAAAAAAATTATTTCCCCCCCAGGTGCGGGGCTGGAAGAACCAGGTCGGGGAACAGCAGGAAGGCGCGCTCTGCCTCCCCGCTGTCCCCCGAGCTTGTGGGGCTGGCGATGGGGAGAAGTGCGCTGATCCCGGGACTGCAGGCAGCTCTGCGCAGCCATCGGGAGCGGGGCAGGACTTCGCGCCCGGCTCCCGGTGGCCGCGCAGAGCTGCGCTGAGCCCGGGACTGCAGGCAGCTCTGCGCAACCCTCGGAGCCGGTCTCCCGAGGGTTGCGCAGAGTTTCCTGAAGCCTGGAGAGCGAGAGGGGTCGGTGTGCACCGACCCCTCTCGCTCTCCAGGCTTCAGCGAAAGCCTGCATTCGCCCCATAGGACGCACACACATTTCCCCTTCATTTTTGGAGGGGAAAAAGTGCGTCCTATAGGGCGAAAAATACGGTACATCTGAACACCAGGTGCTGCGGAGGACAATAAATAATGGTCAGCAATTTCATGCTCTATCTGAGTGTCCAGAGAATCCTTACTGGATACTGTTATATACTTTGCTATACCAGAGGGACCTTGGTCTGTACCAGAAATGCAGTCCCTTTTTATGATTCTCACCAATCACAGTTTTGTTCTCTGTAAACCTCTTAAATTCCCCAACCAGTCACTGAAGACCTCCTTGACTTTCTGATTCCTCAAAGTGAAGATGAAGGGACTTAGGAATGGGGTCACTACAGCCGTCAAGAGGGCTACCATTTTGTTCATATCTGTGGAGTGGCTCTTGCCAGGCCTCACGTAGATGAAGATAGCAGTGCCATAGCCGATGCCCACCACAATGAGATGTGAGGTGCAGGTGGAGAAGGTCTTCTGCCGACCAGTGTTAGAGGGGATCTTCAGAATGGTGGAGATGATAGCGACGTAGGATGCTATTATGACAACAAAAGAGCTTAAGACAAACAGAATCGCAAGGAGGAAGTCCCCAAGCTCAATGAGGCGGGTGTCCGAACAGGAGAGCTTGAGCAAGGGTGCGTTATCGCAGAAGAAGTGGTCAATCTGATTAGAGCTGCAAAAGGATAGCAGGGACCTGAATATGGTTGGGGGAATCATGAAAAGAAAGGGAACCGCCCAGGATCCAAGGGCAAGCTGGATGCAAACTCTGCTGCTCAGAATGACAGAGTAATGCAGAGGATGGCAAATGGCCACGTAGCGGTCAATTGACATTACAGCCAGCAGAAGGAAGGTTGTGGATCCCAGCGAAAAATAGAAGTAAAATTGAGCCAGGCACCCTCCAAAGGAGATAGCGCTTCTTTCCACCATTAGGCCTGCCAACATTCTGGGGACCACAGTGGATGTGACCAGAGTCTCTGCCACAGAGAAATTACACAGGAAGAAATACATAGGTGTGTGAAGACGAGGATCCAGACAGGCCATTGTAACAATAGCAGTGTTTCCACCTAACAAAACCAGGTAGAACACCAGGCATGGTGCAAACAGAACATTCTGCAACCCCCTTGTTGTTGAGAAGCCTATCAGGATGAATTCTGCAGTGTGTGTTTGGTTTCTCATCACCCTGTTTCTTCCACTCTTCTCTCTGAAGGACAAGCAAAATAAGCAGATTAGTCTTTGCTGGATAAAGGGGGGATGGTGGCATCTCCCCCCGTCCCCAGCTTTCTCCTTGTGTAGGCCATTGTCACGTTGCCTCATAATCATGTACAACATATTGAGAGAACGAAAAGGGCAGTGGGGAGAACAAGCACATTACCAACCCCCGAAAGAAGGGTAATCTGAAGATAAAACACTTGCGCAGGCAAAGAACCAGAAAGGTTAACCCCATTCATAGGTAAGAAGACAATAACAAAGTATTAGAGCAGGGGGTCACCATATGTTGCTGTACTATAATTCCTATTATCCCTGACTTTTTGCCATGACGGTCGGGGCAACATGGGCTACTCTCTGTCCTAGTGCTACCGAAGGAACAAAGAACTCACTGCGATCAAGACGGAGTTGAAGATTTTCATGATGTCTATCGTTTTTAATTTTGATGCCCCACTTGTATCCCAAAGGGGTCAGGAAAAGGCTACCCTTTTAAGTAATATTGTTTAATTTACTGAAATGGGAATGGCTATGTGTACTAATGATTGTTGCTAACATGGGGATTTTCCATGAGGCTGTATTGAAAGGCGGGGCAAGCACTTTTGAGTTCTTGCTAAGTCAATGATTAACTGATCGTTGTTTCTCTGGTAGCTAACATGTGAGTGGTGTAACCTTAGATCATGTGCATAAGGTATTGGGTTGCTTTTGAGTCGTTTCAAACTCAGTGAAGATGTAAAATAAGCTCCTCGGAAGGGAGAGCAAACCGTCTGGAGGCTGGAATGTAGGCTGTGAAGAGGGAGACCTTTGCTTATAGGTCAGTTTGGATTATTTCATATTTTGTAAGATGATGAGCCTGGCAAGACAGTGTGCCAGGGCTCACACTCGCCCGGCAGGCTTCTATCCCAACTTCCCTTTTAGAATCAAGAACCACCAAATTAGATGGGAGCCACCCCCTCCCCACCAAAAGCACACTGTGATTTATTTGCCGGTGCATTTGTACCCTGCCAAAAAAAGCTCTCAACGCAGCTTACAAAAACCAGTTCTTCAGTGGCCCCTGTCCTCAGGCTCACAGTCTAAAAAGACATGACACACAAGAAAAGAATGAATGGGAGGGAGGAGGGAAAAGCAAGCTCAGGCCCAAGTCTTTGAGTTACAGTTCTGGAAGGTATAGCCAGTGTCAGTGGTGGTTCTGGCTTTCTTGTCCTTGATAAAGAACAGTCCCTCCCTCCTCTCTTCTCCCCAAATCATATCTTCGAGCAGAACTGGTGACTAATCCATAACCATATTTACACAACACTTTCTTTTTAACCAATTATCTTTTAAATGCCTTTCCCCTGAGCACTCCATAGCAGGTCCCCTCTTCATTCTCTCTGCTCCATCCCTGATATCATCTTCCCTCACCCCATAGTACTCTCTCCTTTCTTCCCTCTTTGCATCCCATATCACATTTTTGTTCCCAAATTCACAAGTCTTTTCTCTACCTTTTCTTTCCATGTTCCACAGTTCTCTTTGCTCTCCATTTGAATGTAAGAAAAGGCTTTTTCAAATCAGATGTTTCATCTAGACCACCCTGCTGTTTCCAACACTGGCCAGTCAGATGTCTCGGAATAAGGAAGCTCACAAGCTAAGGATAGACAAATCACCCTATTTCCACTTCATGACAGTTTTGAATGTGCTCAACCATAGGTCTGTCCCATCCACATTTTGCAGATAAAAAAGTTAAAAAACAAAAAAACTTCTAAATTGTATGTATTTTATACACATTTTGTATGTCTTCTTCTCCTTAAAGGCACCTTTGTGTAAGTTTTTCAATTCATTTCCCCTTAAATTATGTGCTTTGTGCATACTGCACAAAATATGCATATTTGGGTTGCATTTTTTGAACCGAAATCACATTGTGGTGTCACGTTGTTTTGAAAAACACAATCAGGTGTCCAGGATTTCAGAATGATGCTAATAAGGTAACACTGGAGATATATCACAGAACAACAACAAAAAAAAAATGCAGAATGATGTCCAGTATAAATCTGCCACTAACACACCATTGTTGTGTCAATGATAGGTTGCAAAATACAAAAAACACACTTGTCTGGAGAGACCCTCTGAAACTTGAATAGGATTTTTGTAAGCATCCTCATTCACTCCAATAAGCATAAAAAGGTAAAGGGAGCCCTGACCACTAGGTCCAGTCGTGACCGACTCTGGGGTTGTGGCGCTCATCTCGCTTTATCGGCCGAGGGAGCCAGCGTACAGCTTCCAGGTCTTGTGGCCAGCATGACTAAGCCGCTTCTGGCAAACCAGAGCAGTGCACGGAAACGCCGTTTACCTTCCCGCCGGAGCGGTACCTATTTATCTACTTGCACTTTGACGTGCTTCCAAACTGCTAGGTTGGCAGGAGCAGGGACTGAACAACGGGAGCTCAACCCGTCACGGGGATTCAAACTGCCGACCTTCTGATCAGTAAGTCCTAAGCTCTGTGGTTTAACCCACAGCGCCACCCGCGTCCCAACAAGCATATATGGTACTTATTTATTGAGAGGACAGGCTTGTTTTGGCCTACAGAACACCCGTCCCCCTCCCCCCCAACCCATCCCAACCTCCCTTTCTTAAGTGAGCCCATTTGCTTGAAAAATGTAAGATGATTTGTTGAGTGGGGCCTCTATGAGTGTCTGGTTGCTAATAAATAAATAAATAATCCTGCCCTGAGTGCACCTTTGCTGCTTTGTATTTTTGTAAAGGTAAAGGTACCCCTGCCCGTACGGGCCAGTCATGACTGACTCTGGGGTTGCGTGCTCATCTCGCTTTACTGGCCGGGAGCCAGCGCTGTCCGAGGACACTTCCAGGTCACGTGGCCAGTGTGACGAAGCTGCATCTGGTGAGGTGGCACCAGCACAGCGCACGGAAATGCCGTTTACCTTCCCGCTATAAAGCGGTACCTATTTATCCACTTGCACTTTAGGGGTGCTTTCGAACTGCTAGGTGGGCAGGAGCTGGGACCGAACAACGGGAGCTCACCCCGCCGCGGGGATTCGAACTGCCGACCGTACGATCGGCAAGCCCTAGGCACTGAGGTTTTACCCACAGCGCCACCTGCGTCCCCATTTGTATTTTTATGTTGCCCTTATTTACTATGCATGTTCTTGACAATGCATATTCTTTTTTTTATAGCCTGAATAACTTGCATTACATTGAAAACTTTCAACAAATGTGTAGAATTTTAAAGGTTTGGGTTTCTTGGTTTTGCACAAGCTTGTTTTTTTTTTAACCAATCTCATCTTCTAATTTAAGCTGCCCCCTTCTATTTTTTACCCAATTTAGCAAAACAGCTCAAGGAAATCACAGAAGTTTTAAGGGTGGTGAAAGGGTGGGCACCAGTTGGAGAGGCTTCATGTAATGTATCCTCCCCCCGGTCATTTTATTATCCAAATGTGGTCCAGGGGCTTCTCTCCATATTTTGAGTTGCCTAGGGTTGCCATATTTCAAAAAGTAGAATTCCTGACACCAGCAACAGGACATGTCAGGAGTTTTCCTGACGTATAGTGAGCCTAGAGTTGCCTGACCTTATAATAAAAGTCTCTAAGTGCCACAATTGAGGAATTGCATGCAGGACCCAAAAAGAAGTGTAACATTATTGCTTTGAACAATGTGATGTTTGAAAGCAATTTTCTTTTTTCTTTTGCCTTACAAGTGAAACTATGAGAAATGCATTTTAAACACGCCTTAATTAAAGTTCGATTGGGACAGTGTGAGCCAAGCAAAATTGGTTCAGGAGCTGGATCCAAACCACAAACTTCCTTTTGGTGTGATACCTCTTTGTTTCAGGACAGGTAGTAAGACTGGAAGGCCCCAGAGCACCCAGTGCAATAAATCAATGGGAGAGTAATCTTAGGAAATTACTTACAGTGCTGTGAGTCTTCGGAACACAGGCTAGATATGAAAGCGAAAGATTCTTCCATGAGTAGAGAGCAGCTTAGGGTTGGATTCACACAGAGAGAAAGCAATTTAAATGTCTGCTTGTTTTGATCTCCTCAACATCTATTTCTCTCTAAGATCTCCCCCCCCCCCTGTTTTTAATGAGCACAGACATGCCTTCTTTTCTCTGGTACAAGATCCAAAAACCCCCAGAAGATTTCTTCCACATTCAGAGTGCTGTATGTGAGCAAGTACTTTTATAATAAAAGTTTTATTTGCAGCCGGGCTTATGCTCCCGGGAGACTGAAAGAGTTTCAAGGTGGGGTGGAGGGAGGGAGGGAGGGAGCTGTGATCCACAGGGGTGCTGAGAGTAACATCAGAATCTTGCTCTGCGCCGTCTTTTTTTGAGAAGGCGCTCTGAAAATCCGGGGAGGAAAGACATCTCTCTCCAAGGCCTGTTCCCACCTTCACTTCTCAGCCACGTAGTCTCCTTCCACCTGCTGCAGAAAGAATAAATCATCTATGCTTATTGCAGAACGTGGAAGGAGCAAGGCAAGCCATTTGACAGTGTCTTAATTGTGGCAGATGAAGGTGATGGACTATATGGAACTGGCGGAAATGACCGGCAGAATCCGAGACCAGGGAGAAGAGTCGGTGGAAGAAGATTGGAAGAATTTTAAAGACTCTTTACAGAAACACTGCAAAATTAATGAATGTTAGAATGATGTTGGATTGAAGTTAAGCGGTTTTTAGTAGCAATGTTATAAAGGAATGTGTAAAATGGTTTGTTAACAGGTGATAATATAAAGCTATAATATATTAAGATAAAAGATTAAGATAAAATCAAAGAGGGAAAGGTTTTGCTGAATTAACTAATTGAACTGGAATACAAAAAAGGGAGGTGTGAGGAGGTCAGGGAAACAAGCAAATGAAAGATAAGATTTGGAAAAACTGGTCTGTTTTTAACTGTTTTTACTTTGTATTTTCTTTTTTCTTTTTCTTTTTCTTCCTTTTTCTTATTTTTGTAAAATGTTGAAACTTTAATAAATATCTTATATAATTTAAAAAAAATACAGTGTCTTAATTGTTCTGTGTGGTCCATGGGGCCAATGTGAGGAAAATGAGCACCTTATTCCTGGCCAACATGTGGTGACTACCCTCCTCTTCCACTGGGTGTATTTTGTATCAGGGAAGGAAACAGCCTTCCAAACTGTGCTTTTCCTTTCACGATTATGTGCCTTAAGTCTGAAAGTGTGTACAGTGGTACCTTGGGTTACAAACGCTTCAGGTTACAGACGCTTCAGGTTACAGACTCTGCTAACCCAGAAATAGTACCTAACTGTACCTCAGGATGAGAACAGA